TGAAGTGCCTCAGACCAGCACGGGATTTTCTCCCTTCGAACTTATTTACGGGCGTGACGTCAGAGGACCACTTAGTTTGTTAAAAGAATTATGGATTGGAGAACACATCGGCGACGAGGCGAAGACAACTTACGGATATGTATTGGATCTGCGAGATCGTCTTGAAAAAACACTGCAGTTGGCTCATGAGAACTTGACACGAGCAAGAAAATCACAGAAGCAATACTATGATCAGCGAAGCACGAAACGTCAGCTTGAAGTAGGCGACCGGGCCCTTATTCTACTCCCTACTACGGAAAATAAATTACTCATGCAATGGAAAGGACCTTTTAAGGTCACAGGGAAAAAGGGCAGTCATGACTACTGGTTGGACTTGGGACGTGACACCAAGTTGTTCCACATCAACATGTTAAAGCGTTACGAGGATCGCGAACCGGAGAGGTTTACACAAACAGCGTCATTCGTAGTGATGGAAGAAGAGGAGGCAGATTCACCTATACCAGTTTACACTATTGACCAAGGGACTGGGGTGGAGACAATTAATATAGGTGAAGGGCTGGCTGAAGAGGAAGCTGCTGAGCTCCAGCGGATTCTGACCAAATACCAAGATGTGTTTTCCGAAATGCCAGGAAAGACCAATTTGCTGGAATGCCCGCTTCGACTGACAACACCGGATCCGATTTGCACTCCGCAGTACCCACTACCACTGGCGATGAAAGAAGTGGTTGAAAAGGAAGTTCGAGATATGCTCAAGCTCGGGGTGATTGAGCGATCCAATTCGCCATACAATTCCCCCTTGGTGCTAATTAAGAAGCCAGATCAAACTTATCGGACATGCATAGACTTTCGTCGCATCAACGAGGTGTTGATATCAGATGCGGAACCCATACCACGGACGGATATGATGTTCGCAGATGTTGGGACCAAGAGGTTTTTCTCGAAATTCGATCTTACCAAAGGATACTGGCAAGTTCCACTGGAACTGGAGTCGAGATCGGTAACCGCATTTTCAACTCAGACCGGACATTACCACTTTATCTACATGCCATTTGGAATCAAAACTGCGTCTGCAGTGTTCACGCGTTTGATGAGAACACTTCTCCAAGGCCTCCCGAACGTAGCGCATTATATAGACGATGTTCTCATCGCTACTATGACATGGAAAGAGCATTTAGACACATTGCAGCAATTCCTGCACAGAGTGAGAGAAGCAGGATTGACTATCAAACCCCAGAAATGCGAAATCGCTATGACTTCCGTCGTATTTTTAGGCCATCGTTTAGGAGGAGGGACCATCCGAGCAGTGGATAGTACTGTCGAGAAGATTGCCAATGCACAAAAACCTCAAACAAAGAAGCAGCTTCGATCGTTTCTTGGATTGGCGGGATATTACCGCGATATGATTCCCCATTATGCGGAGAAAGCTCAGCCTCTCACCGAACTAACTAGGAAAAAGGAGAGAAATAAGATTTGTTGGAATCCTGAAAGAGAGGCGGCATTCGAAACACTTAAGCAAGCCCTTGCTTCTGGACCAATTGTAAAGGCTCCTGATCCGGAGCGAAGGTTTGTACTTCGGTCGGACGCATCTGACACCTGCATCGGAGCGATATTAATGCAGGAACATGACGGATTGTTACACCCTGTATCTTATGCAAGCCGCCAGTTGCTGCCCCGGGAAAAGAATTACTCTACCATAGAGAGGGAGTGTTTGGCATTGGTATGGGCGGTACAGAGGTTTCACATTTTTTTGTATGGGAACCAGTTTGTTGTACAAACAGATCACCAACCTCTACAGTACTTAGCCCGAGCCAAACACTTGAACAGTAGGGTCCTGAGGTGGAGCCTGGCATTGCAAGAATACTCATTTAGCATTCAGCATATAAAAGGGTCGGAGAATACCGGTGCGGACTTCATGAGTAGATTGTGAGCCAAGAGTTCGGACTTCATGCACTGTGATATTGGGTGTTGGACACTCAAAGTATGTCAGTGTATTTAACGGTGTTCTTGTGTATTTAGTAAATATTGGACCTCGACATGTGAACTATACAGAGGACATATACAGTGAAGGGGTTTACAGACCGCGCACGTGTCAGCAGTTTTTTTTTTTTTTTAAAAAAAAAAAAGAAGGAAAAAAAACTCATTTAAGGGGGGGCTTTTGTGATATGTGTCGTGCGCGAAGCTTCAAAGTGCGCGCCATTCAAAGTGCGCGCCATTCAAAGTGCGCGCTTGAAGCAGACAACGACGAAGGTAGCACGAGCGCTGAGTAGCGGGGCGGCGAAGGTACGAGAAGGAACGAGGAAGACGGGGCTCTCGACTCGGCCGTTGGGTTCCGGACCCGAGCCTAGTAACAGTCGAGCCCGGCCTACCTGCCACGTTCTACCTGCCACGGCCGTGCGTCGCTGACGTGCTGCGGCTTCAAGGCATCCTGTGCTTGAGGACACGCGGAGCTGTCGGGCTACGGGCACGAGTTCCAGCAGAGGTGTCCGGCCGGGACGCGGCCGGTGGTAGTGCCTGGTCTACCGCGCCAACTGGTCCACCTGGTCTACCGTGCGAGCAACGCGGAGCTGTAGGGCTACGGGCACGAGCTCCAACAGATGTGTCCAGCCGCGACGTGGCTGCGGGGGCGGAGCCTACCCATCAACTAGTCGCCTGGTTGACCGTGCGGACAACGCAAGCCAGCTCAAGACGTAGCAACGAACCTCGGTGAGACCGACCTCATGTCTTGTGTCCATGCTAAAAAGGAGGGACGGTTAGTTTAGGACTTTGATAGTTCACAGAGACAGTGAAGGATTCTTTAAATAGCCTGTCCATGTTATGTGTGTTCGTTTTTCGTGTGTATAAAGTGTGGCGTACAAACGGCCTCGTCTCTTCGTGGGAGTCTGGGGCGACGGCTCGGACACCCATTAACTAAGAACCTGCACGTTGCTATAACACCCCCTGCAATGTAACAGAGAGGCCTTTGTCCTGCAGTGGACGTAGTCAGGCTGATGATGATGATGATGATGACTATGGCGTCACTCATAGTCATAAGGTGGTATTCATATGCAGGCCGTGAGGTTAGCGTATCACTTTGTAGGTCGTGCGAGCTAACTGTATAATAATCAATATAAAACGACGAGTAAACATTTGCAAGAAGTATATTCTTATTGATTATACATGCTGTGAGTGCCGTTTTGTCCATTGCATCTTTGTCGAGGCTGCACTTGTTGGAATAGGTCCACTCTGCTTTACTCTACATAATGCGATATAGTTTTTTTTGGATACCAGCTTTAAAAGCCTACTTATCACAATCCTATAGTGCGTTGTTTCTTAGCACATTAGATGGTTTCTTGTATAATCTGAATACCGCAACATATGTGACTCCTCGGAGGTGTGATTAAGCAAGTGTTTCTTCAGAGAAAGGCCGAAAACATTGGTTTCTTTCCCCAGCTTCTGAATGCTAATCACTTGCCTGCGAGGGAAGCAAAGATGTGAATCGTGTCACTGACAAAATTTGGCTTTCGCCGACTTTTGTGTCTGGATCAATTACGCAGGTACATCTGGACCAAATTGATAGAAATCTGGGTCGCCTCGTACTCTGTAACCTAAAACCGGAAAGGAAAAAAAAAACGCTACTCCTACAGCTCGCCAGGTTCAACATCTTGCTATGCCGTTGCCTTCAGGTGCTATCGATATTCATTTGAAAGGACACCACGAAACAGCGTATTATTGGGTGGAGCACAAGAACTGGCCAGCAATATTTCCTTCCTAGCAAAACAGCCACGCACTGCACATTTTCAAAGAGCCCTTTCCGTTTTTATTGACAGAGTCGATTGGCCAAAGGGAAGTAGTCGTGTCTCCCAACACAATCTTCGCTATGAAGAGTGAATCGTTTGGTCGTGTTGAAACCATGATAAAAGTGGCAGACATGATTTGGCACACTTTCCGCTTTTCGCGGTTCTCGATGATCTGCCTTCAGATGTAGATTAAAAGCATATTGTCATGCTGTGTCTTCTCGCGTCCATTTGAATTTCTGAAATGCACATTTCAACGCGGCAGCGTTAAACAGCTCATTTCGCAGAAACTCCGGGGTCGGCATCGTTGGTTGTGAGCAAAAAAAAATCATCATCTATGCGTGACCACGAAATCGAGAACGATGCAGGTAAAATAAATGATAAAAAAAATCTTGCGCCAGAGTGAACATCGAAGCCGGGTCATTCGCGTGGCAAGTCACACCACAGAACACCTACCGGCCACACGGCCACGCTTATGCTTATTAGTACAGTGAAAATAACTTCCTTTGCTTGGAAATGCAGCGGAAGTAGCTGTTATCCTTTACAAACACACGCATTCTGTGTACAGGCTCAATACAACAGCTAATATTATAGTAATATTACGTGGTACAAGCGTACATTGTGATCAGAACATGGGACTATCAAAATGACTTCATAGTTTAAAGCCACTTACCCACTGCAAAAGGCATACACGCTACGGCGTCTATTCCCTTATGGCCGCGTAGTGATTGCATAGAAAAGTTTCGAAAAGGTTTCATGCGCAAAGTGTTTTTAAATACCCACTGCCACTAGCAACAGGGCATCCGTATCGCGTTCAAATCGTAAAGGCGAAACTTTAAGGTTCCCTAGTTTTTAGGGGCGAAGCTCCTTAATGCGGCACCCGTTCGTCTCTCGTAGTCGTAGTCGTAGTGTGTAACAAGTGTTACATTATGACCTCCAAGGTGGTGCCGGTGAGAGATTCCTTCTGTGCGTTGTTGAACAATAAAAAATGGCAGCATATCCACAGTGTGAACGATGGAGAGTGGGACGAAGCATCCGCTGTCCATTCGTTCTTGCTTCCGTCCGTCCCTGGACCGCCTCGGCATCAGCGGGAGCTTCCGAGGGTTTGTGACCGCCTTCCTGTCCGGGAGGACCTTCCGTGTCCGTGTTGGAGGGGCAACCAGCCAACCCAGGGACATCACTGCTGGTGTCCCACAGGGTTCAGTACTGAGCCCCTTCCTCTTTAACATGGCACTAGCAGGACTTCCGGCGTTCCTCCCAACAGACACCAGGTTCCCGGCCCGCTGCTCCGTCTACGCTGATGATGTGGCACTCTGGGTCCAGGGACCAAGGCGGTCCATCCCAGCCATCTGGAGATCACTGCAGGCGGCCATCGATGCAGTGATAACCTACCTCGGAGGCATCGGGCTTAAGCTCTCTGCCACCAAGACCGAGGCCCTACTGATTCACCTGCTGGCGGCAGCTCGCACCCACGTGAGACGGCTGAGTGTTGGCAACCACAGCCTGCCTTGGAGGCTGGTGGTGAAGTACCTGGGGCTCACCATCGACCACCGGCTCACGTGGATCCCGGCTGCCAAGGCTGCTGCCACCAAGGTGCGGCACGTCCAGGGCGCCATCAGCAGGCTGCAGCTGCGTGGCCGTAGCTGCTCCACCAAGTGGGCCCTCCGACTCAACCAGTCAGCGCCGTCCTCAGTCCTCCTGTACGCCTTCCCGCTGGTGAACCTGACACCGGCCAGGAGAGGCCTGCTAGAGGGACTTAACAGGGGTGCACTGAGGGCCATCCTGGGGCTTCCCAAAAACTCGCCGGTGGCAGCGACTCTCGCGGAGGCGGGAGAGTGGCCCCTGACGTTACGTATGCTCCTACGTGCGCTGGGCCACATCGACCGCCTTCACCGCGCCACCGACGGCAGGGCCCTACTGGAGCGTTTCCGCAGTAAGCCAGGATCACGGATGGGAGGCCTCCCTGCTGTACCACCAGATGGTCCTAGATCCGCCAGTCCCGATAACCTCTCCACCGCCTCGCCACCAGCCACCAGAGGTCCACCTCTGCTTGGAAGGGGCAACCAAGCGACGGACGCCTGCGGCCGCACTGCTACAGGCGGCCTCCTGCAAGCTCCAGGAACTACTGCAGGGACGGCTGCAGGTGTTCACGGACGGATCTTTGATGCCGGACGGGACCACAACGGCCGCATGCGTAATCCCGTCCAGAGCTAACAGCAGGCAGTGCAGGCTACCCTTCCCGGCAAAGTCCACGGCTGCGGAACTGGCTGGACTACATCTCGCGGTAGACCTGTTGGCCGAGGGCATCCCCCTTGAGCCAGCCGTGGTCCTTTATGACAGCAAGGCGGCCCTGCAGACCCTGGCCAACTCCCGCCGTGCCGGACTGACGGCCTGCCTCCTGACATCCAAGGTTCGGGCCCTCACCGACGACGGGGTGTCCGTCTCCTTCCACTGGCTGCCCTCCCACGTGGGCATCGCTGGAAACGAGAAGGCGAACACACTCGCCAAGGCTGCCCACCAGCCTGGTACCCCCTACTCCTGTGCCGTGGCGGCCAGAGACTATTCGCAAGCCCGTCTCAAGAGGCTCCTCGTCACAGTCCACCCAGACCAGAGGGTGGCCAGTGGGCGAGGACCAAAGCCTCTCCCAGAGACGGGCCTCACCAGGAGAGAACGGGCCTCCCTGTTGCGACTGCGGACCGGCTGCGTGTGGACAGCGGCCCGCCGCCACGCCAAAGGCCTCTGTCCCTCTCCGGCCTGCAGCCGTTGCGGAGACCCAGAGACCCTCAAACACCTCCTCTGTGCCTGCCCTGGCTTAACACAGGAACGCTTGAGGGCCTACGCGGCCTACAGGAGACAGGGTCTGCCCGTCTCCTCCCTGGAACACCTGCTGTTCCCGTCTCGTCCACATCCAGCAGCACTCCGCAGCCTGGCGGAGTTCGTGAAGGAGTCAGGAATCGCTGCCCACCGCTGCTCCCAGGAGCCATGCTGCCTTTGCCCTTGCCGAAGGCCTGCTGCTCGCCCTGAAGCGGACCGGACATCCCCCCTTACACACCACACACTATTTCTCCTATCCTCTTCCATCCCCCTCCACCCCACCCCAAAGGCATTGCGCCGTGTCGCCTGTAGGCAGACGGAAATTAGGTGCCTTCTTCCTCTTCCTCATGAACCACTAACAACAACATCCATGTGTCCGTTCGCCCGACCGCGCGTGCGTCCGTTCTTGCGCCGCACGTCCATCTGTGTGTCCATCCCTGCGTTCATCCATACATCCACCCCTGCGTCCGTCCATGCGTCCATCCATTGGTGCAGCCATCCGTGAGTTCGTCCATGCATCTGTCTGTGTGTCCGTTCGTTTATCTATTCAACACTCAGAGTACCACCATCTCGCATCTTTTCACATTCCAAGGAGTAAACGAGAGGTGGCACACGCACACTTTCTTTCGGCTTGCGCTTCGTGTCTATACTTCCCACCTTTCACCCCCTCGAATTCATGGTATATACTAGTTCACTGTATTCATGGCACCGTGGCCCAACGCTCTCTAAACGTTTTTAAACCAAGGAGGCTATGCCCGGCGAGTATAACGTAGCAACCCTTTCTTGTCAGATAGCGCTCAATGTACATGCCAATGACTGCTAAGGGGGAATTAGAGACAGTAGAATTAGGCTTTTAGTTAACGCGCACGCTGTGAATTTTTAATTGTTCAACAACGCACAGAGAAAATCTTTCGCCGGTGCCACCTTGGAGGTCAAAATGTAATACTGGTTACACACTACGACTACTACTACGACTACGAGGGACGAACGGGTACCGCTATAAGGAGCTTTGCCCCTAAAATTCGAAGCGTGCGCGTTAACTAAAAGCCGAATGCTCCTGCCTCTTATTCCCCATTAGCAGCCGTTGGCATGTACATTGAACACTATCTGACAAGAAGGGTTGCTACGTTATACTTGCTGGGTGTAACCTCCTTAGTTTTAGAAAGGTTTAGTGAGCGTTGAGCCGCAGTGCCATGAATACAATGAACTAGTATATACCATGAACTTGAGGTGGTTAAAGGTGGGAAGTAGATACGAAGCGCAAGCCGTAAGAAAGTAAAAACCGAATTCTCCTGTCTCTCATTTCCCATTAGCAGCCATTGGCACGTACATGGAGCACTATCTGACAGGAAAAGGTTGCTTCGTTACACTCGCTGGGAGTAACCTCCTTGGTTTTAGAAAGGTTTAGCGAGCGTTGGGCTGCAGTGCCATGAATACAGCTTGTATATACCATGAACACGAGGTGGTTAAAGGTGGGAAGTAGACCCGAAGCGCAAGCCGTAAGAAAGTGTGCTTGTGCCACCTTTCGTTTAGTCCTTGGAATGTCCGCTGGAGGCCGGTGCTTCTATATGGGGAATATATGATGAAATGATGCGAGATGGTGGTGGAGTGCTGAATAGATGGACGAATGGACACTCAGACAGATGCATGAATGGACGCATGAACAAACGCAGGGGCGGATGCCTGGACGAACGCAGGGACGGACGCACGAACAGACGCGCGCAAGGACGAGCGGATGGACGCATGGACGGTCACACAGACGGACGCATGGACGGACGGAAGCAAGAACAAATGAACGTACGAATGCTTCGCACCACTCTACAGCATGCACTCCGTGGATATTCTGCCAATTTTTTTGTATTCGCTGGTACGAGCGATCGCCCATGAAGTCCGTGGCGAATAGAAGAGCACCGGATTGTTTTATAGAGCTGCGAAGCAAATGATGGCTCAGGTTTTTCACCCAGGGAAATAAAAAAAGAAATCACGGCATACCCACGGGGTGAATGATGAGTGGTCGAAGCTCCGGAGGGAATGATCCGTAAACCGTGAATCTTCCGTGCAATTTGCCATGTTAGCATTATTTAAAAAAAGACGTGAAAAGCATTGTGTGTATATGCCGTGCCACTCGGGTAGGGTGGCTAGAATTGGGAGGTGTGAAAACCGGCCGCTCCAAGGTGGCTCCCGCGCGCAAGCCTGCAGCGGTGGCGCTGTAGTCGAAGGCGCTGCCAGCTTTCTCCGTAGCTATTTTTCGCTAGTACAAGAGTTTTGTGTCAAAATAAATATCAAACAGCAATTTCACCAATTATGAATACATGCATATTTCGCTCAACGAACATTCTATTAGAGCAAAGTTTTCAAAAAAGCGTCATTTCGACAGCACCACTCTTTATATGCTTGGTGAAACCAAAATGATTTTATTTTCTTTAAAATTGAACTACGTCATATTGGAGTAAAAAAAAGCTTGCTCTAGTGGAGCGGGGTACCTTTGACGACGTTAGTTGGCCAATATTACCTTGTGCTAACCCGTGTTAGATTGTGACAACGGTTGCTGCTAAATATGCCTGGACATTGCAACTTACCGAGTGCAGTTACGCACTGCCATTTTCTCGATGCTTAACTTATTTCGCACTTGAGGCAGTATTTTGAAACATGAGTAGAAACTGAGACAACACTTAGTTCCATGGCTGCAACAAAAATGATTAAGGTAAGTCACTAATGAACATTTTTTTAACGTGACCCAAGGCTTCCATCACCCGACATTTTTCTCTCTTTTTACTTGGTTCAGACCCTTCAAAAAAAAAACTCTCGTCACTCAAAATAATCTGATCACTGCTTTCTTCAATTCTTTGCAATGTTCAATGCAACCAATTTCTGGAAAACCCTAGCTCGGGCCTCCCGCTCTCGTACGGCAGGATTTCGGCGGCGGTGGCGTCGCGTAGCTTTACGGCGCGCTTCTGCCTCGTGGACTCGCACATCGGGATTCTGTCTGCGAGCGCATGCTGCCGCTGCCTTGCGCGCTCGCCGCTCTGCAGCCTTGTCCATCCGGCGACTCCGAGCGCGCGCCAGAAGCGAACAAATTTATTGCAACGCTCCCCCTAGCGTACATCGCCGCACTAAATTGAACGATTTCCTTCCAACATTGACACGCGCTATATGTGACATCATTCCTGTTATAACATCTCGCATCGTTCATCATCAACTACAAATACCGCCATCTAGTTTTATAACATCTCGCACCTTTTCATGAACTGCAAGTACCGCCATCTAGTGAACACTAGAAAACTAAACTAGAGGTGGCTACCTACTGCTATACCTACATATATCAAAGGATGTACAGACACACGCCTTAAGAAGCTTCCCTTCTAAAGAAAACATGATGCAGCACGATTTTCCACACACCAAGACAAAATCCTGCTGACGCACATACCTGGCCACCCAAGTAAGAAGAAAGAGAAAAAAAAACACAGCATATCTGTGCAGAGAATAATGATGAGTGTGGCGAAGCGTCCATCAGCCCGCCCGTGCTTCGCCGTCCATTCGTTCTTGCTTCATTCAGTCCGTCCGCGTGACCATCCATGCGTCCATCCGTCTGTCCATGCCTCTGTCCGTGAGTTTATCCATCCATGTGTCTGTCTGTGTGTTCGTGCGTCCATCCATCCATACGTCCGCGCGTCTATCCATTCGTCTATCCGTCTGCTAGTCTGTCTGTCAGTCTGTGCGTCCGTCTAGTGAACACTCCAAGTACCGCCATCTCTCATCTCCTGTGGCACATACCCGCCCTAGAGCGGATATGTGCCACCGGTGGCTACATAATACATACATACATACATACATACATACATACATACATACATACATACATACATACATACATACATACATACATACATACATACATACAGACGTACGTACGTACATACGTACTTACATACATACATACTGTTACAAAGCAGTAACGAAGTCCTTGGACCGGATGCCCCCAAGCGTGCCTTCCGTCATCTCGGACATTCTGTGTGGGGGGGG